CTTTCAGTAATTACCTGGCATGTCACAGCTTCTCCGCCTATCGAGATGGTCACATCAGCCTGCAAGCTTTGCTCCTCCTCCCTCTTCTTCACACTGACAACGTTTGTAGGGACAGAAAATTTTCTGGAATCCTGGAGTTCAAATCGCTACGAAAAAGAGACCTTTTTTTTTCCCCTTCGTGCATCTTTGAGGTGTAAAAGCAACGGCTCCAAATTAAGTTAAATAAGATTCCCCCCTCCCCCCACTCCGTCTTTCTGTGCTTGATTTCGCTCCTTCGAAGAAAGGCAAACAAGCCACACGCTGTCGGAACGGAGCAGGCCCAAATAAGTCCTCGGCTTGGCAATCGGCTTCGTCAGATATACGAGGAATCGCTTGGCAAATTTAAAAAACCAGGCATAAAGTTGGTCTTTTGAGGTAAAAAAAAAAAAGGAGCGCCGAGAGCAGCGTAAGGGTTATCGGAGGCCGTGGAAATTCTTGGCTGTGGCCCCTGAAGTCATTTTTTTCATCTTTTATTGCCAAAGGAGATGGGTTTTTAGATGCACGACTTACCTGAGGACTTACAATGAAATTACTGTCAGGATTCCTGCAGTTACCAACATTTAAATCACGAGTCTCGAGCCAAACTTCCAAAACATCAAAAGGATTTATTGGGAGTTAACATGCCGGCATTGCCTGGGTGCAGCCGACTCTGAGACACAGCATTCATTGTCACCCTTGACCCTGGTTTTCCCTCCACCCCTTGGGTATATCATAATTCATATTCTCCAATGGGACACATCCATAGCCAAGAGTCATCAATCACGTTCTCCAGTTAGAATTTTGTGCGGCAGAAGCTTCAATCACCTAGTGGGATGACCCAAAGGGGCATGGCAGAAAAGCGGCAAAGTCACAAAAGTAGGTAAAGTCCCTTTAATTCCTCCAACTTGGCCAGTTATCATTGGCTGGAGAAAAAAACTCTCCCAAGAACAGTCTTTAAAGGGAAGATATTCCGTCCGAAGACAGAGTACATCTAGATTATAAATAAAATCCAACACAAACCAGAGCTGCAGCAATTAACGAGACAGGGCAGGATAAGGAATTGCAGACTTTAAAAGATAACGAAACACACACAGTTGGGAGGATGCCAGAACCCAGATAAGACTTGATAAACAAAGATAATTCACGCTTTGCTTCCAGAAAGGCGCTGTGCGCAAATGCCCTTTTAAAATCCTGTTTTCCCAGCTGCAGCTAATGAAGGGAATCAGGGCCCTTTTCTCCCCCGTAACCCATGTTGCTCCCTTCTCCGTTCCTCCCTGCGTGCCCTTGGATGAAGAGGGGGTGGGCCTGGGTCTACCTCTGAATGCCCAGCCGGACTCTGCCCTTCCCCAGTTTCCTCCACAGCCACCGGAGCCACACTCCCACTCCCTGTCAGCTGTTCCACTTCTCCCTCGGAATCAGATTCCAACTGGGGCATGACACCTAGATACTATCTTTGAAATCATTTATGGAATGCAGCTTCAGTTTTGCAACCTGCTGCACAGCTCCCCACTCCCTTTCTGTTGGCAACTCTAAAATGTCCAGAGAAATACTTTATGAGTTGACAATTACAAGAGGGTGAAACTTCCTCTTAATGGCTGGGGAGCTCTATTGCGCACAACTGCACAGAAAATACGGCGCGGCAGGGTATTACACATTGCCATCCTAAGTCAATGTGGTTCGAAAGCGAGGCATCGCATGGCTGGAGCTCCATTTTACAGCCATTTTTACTATGGTCACTAAGCGAATCCGGCTTCCCCAATTGGCGTGCCTCGTCGTAAAACAGCTGGGAAGGTTGGATGATGCAACCGGTCATAAATGCAAGCCAGCTGCCCAGTGCCCGAATTGCGATCATCTGACTATGGTGTATGTGTGTGTGTGTGTGTGTGTGTGTACTGCAATGGTCACAAATGCGAGGACAGATTGTAAATCACGTTTTCCGAGGTGGTTGTAAGTTGGAGCTGTTGTTAAGTGAAGAGTCATAAGCAAGAGGGCTACATGCACATCATTTGTATCATGGTGTCCTCACACAAGTGACAACACGTGTGTCAGGGTGTCGTTAGACCAACGAAGTAAACCACAGTAGAAATCTCTGTTGCATCCAAGTCCAATAAAGTGAGGCTTCACTATACACAGGAAGTCCTTGACTTACAATGGCTCATTTAGTGACCATTCAAAGCTATGACGGCACTGAAAAAAAATCTACATGACTTATAACTCATTCTACTTGTGACTTATGATTGCTTCTCACACTCATGACCATGGCAGCTTCCCCAAGGCTCATGTGATCAAAAGTCAGGCCCTGTCAGACCCCTGTCGGAGTCTGAATCCGAGGAGGAGGAAGACAAACAGCTGACAGGGAATGTGGGGCTCCCTTGGCTGTGGAGGAAACTGGGGAAGGGCAAAATCCGGCTGGACAGAGCAGGGGAGAGGTATAGCAAGGGAGAGGGAATTCAGAGGAAGACCCAGGCCCACCCCCTCTTCATCCTAGGGCACGCAGGGAGGAACGGAGAAGGGAGCAATGTGGGTTGCATGGCTTACGGGGGAGGAAAGGGCCCTGATTCCCTTCATTAGCCACAACTGGGAAGAGAATTTAAAAGAGATGCAAGCTGAGTGCGGCGTCTGCTGGGAGCAAACGTGAGCTTATCTTGTGTTGACTTTGGCTATCTGCATTCCTGGTGTCCTCCCAACTGTGTTGAATTATGGCCGTTCCTTCACGTCTGGAATCCCTGCTCCTGCCCTGTCGGATTAATTACCTCATTTTGCCTTGATTGGACTTATAGTTACAGTTTTTGTTGACCATGTTTTGGATTTGATTCTCTGCAGCCAAAGGCTGTTTACCTGGGAGAGTTTTTCTCCAGCCCAGAAGGTAACTAGGACATTGGGGGCAAAGTTGGAGCTAATAAAGGGACTCCTACGGATTATCAGACTGGGTTGCCTTTGTGTCACACCCTTTTGGGTATTCACATCCTTGGCAACTGACAGGTAGTTATGATGGTCGCAGAGGTCCCATGATCCGTTTTTGCGACCTTCCAACGAGCAGAGTCAACTTAACAACTGCGTGGTAAAATGGGGCAAAACTCATTTAAAACTGCTTTGCTTGGTAACGGAAATTTGGGGTTCAATTGCAAGTTGAGAACTACCTGTATCTTAATCAAATTTAGTTTTTCGCTTAGTTGCCAAGGCATTCTAATCTAAAGCCAAATCTGGCTCTGAGAACAGAGAAGAGAACTATTAACATGTGTATTTTATTCAATTAATATTGAATAAATATTAAATGAACACAAAGCCCTTCAAGAACGTGCTACCATATAACCATTATTCTATTCAATATGTTAAACAGAATTATATAAAGCAAAGAAGCTTACAGGTTCTTTTCAAGTGCGGTTTTCATCCTTTGTGCCTCTTTTACCCATAAAATAAAAACTGTAAGAGCCACAGGAATAATAATTTAAAAAACAAAACCCAAACCCAGATATATGCATTTGGGAAAATCACAACAGCACATTTGTGGAATAAAAAGCTCTTAGAATATTTCCGTTTTTAGAATGTAAAACCAAGCAAATATATTTTAGCATAACAGAGAATAACAGATTAACAGAGTTGGAAGGGACCATAAGAGGTCTTCTAGTACAACCCCTTGCTCAGGCAGGAAACTCTATTCCACACGTTTCCATTCTAGAAAAATAGGGCGTTCTAATAATCCATGGGCTGCTATAATCTAACGTATTAAAATTTTCCACAAATTAAGAAAATAGAGATCAAGGAACAAAAGGGATATTCTCTCTAGTCTGAATTAAGTTTTTCTAATGTCTTTTTCTAATCGATTGGTATAGCAATTCATTAAATACTTACGTTTAAGGCGTCCTCGACAGCTGTCTGGCCTTCCTTTCCTAGCAAAACATTATATGGATACAGCCAGTTGATGATATGTTGCACTGACATCATAGGAAAGGAATTCTTAATAAAAAAAAGAAATAAAATCAAAATCAAAATCAGACCGAAGTACCTGAGAGAAGAACTAATCTGTGTCCTTTGGTTAAATATTTGCAAACTTCTAAGGTTAAATTGTAAAGTTTGTTTGCTGAGATTCCAAGTCTCTGGCAGCTTGGAGGACAAACACCTCTCGAGATTAGGAAAGATTAGAAAAGAAAAGGATAGAATAGAATATTAGAATAGAATATTGGAATACAATAAAATAGAATAGAATATTGGAAGAGAATATAATAGAATAAGGAATAGAATAGAATAGAATAATTGGAATAGTATATTGGAAGAGAACATTGGAAGAGAATATAATAGAATAAGGAAAAGAATAGAATAGAATAGAATAGAATAGAACAGAATAGAATAGAATAGTATATTGGAATAGTATATTGGAATAGAACATTGGAAGAGAATATAATAGAATAAGGAAAAGAATAGAATAGAATAGAATAGAATAGAATAGAATAGAACAGAATAGAATAGTATATTGGAATAGTATATTGGAAGAGAACATTGGAAGAGAACATAATAGAATAAGGAATAGAATGGAATGGAATGGAATAGAATAGAACAGAA